ATAATACCTCGCTGGAAATCTCTTCTAGACGACGGAATCTGCTCTCCCGCATTGGACCGCTATTGGACGGCTGCATTCACTTTTGGTAGGGCAGAAAGAGAAGTAAGTCATTTTATATTCTACAAATTTACATTTGAAACCCACCTATTTTGAGGATATTTTAAAATATACCCTTTAACTTTATAAAAGTATTAAAAGAAAACGTTTGAGGGTGTGGCTTTTCACGGCCTCTTGTTTTTGTCTAATGATGAATTAAATTTTTATAGTATATTTTTAGTTTTCAAAAACAAATTATAAATTCAGTTTACAATCTCCATACTTTATGAAATAAATTTGTTGCTGAGGCTGTGGCTTTTCACTGCCTCTAGTCATTTTGCATTTATAGAATTAAACTTCAATTGTTTTTATCTAACGATGGATTATATATATATATATATATATATATATATATATATATATATATATATATATATATATATATATATATATAAGAATTAGCTTTATTTTTTCATAGCTTGAAAATTAAAAAACTAATGAAACTCAGAAAATGTCATTCTAATTTTTATTTTATCTAACGGGTGGAATAAGGCATCATATTTAATTTTTAATTGATTACATAAATTTTAAAAAGTTGACATATTTAATTTTCATTAATATAGTTTTTTATTTTAATAATATTAAATTATTTGATGTTTTTTTTTTGTATATAGAGATGTTTAAGTTATTTGGAATCAACGTATTTGCTCGAGATGAAGATACTTCTATCAAGAATTCGTCATTTTCCACCAAACAGGTTATATACTTCTACCACATAATGAAGTTTTATATTTTTCTTATAAACTAAAACACTTAAAATTCAATTTTAGATGTTCAAGTCTCGTGAGGAATTGTTTGAGTGGACACAAAACAAAGCACGCTCTCTAGGATATGTCATTATCAATAAAAGATCAAAGGCATATGTCAACAACTTCGTGTATAAAGTCATACTTATGTGTGATCATGGGGGTGAATATAAAGCTACTAACACGGTTAGAGCATCTGGAACCAGAAAGACTAATTGTAAGTTTGAACTGGAAGGAAAGTATTCAAAAGAACATAATAAATGGAGGCTGAGGGTAATATGTGATGATCATAATCATCCGCCTGCACAACATATGGAGGGTCATCCATATGTGAGACGGTTATTTGTTGACGAGACTCGTTTGGTGGAAGATCTAACAAGAAAGAACTTGGCGCCACGTGATATTCTGTCAACCTTAAAGGCGCAAAACGAAAATAATGTATCGGTAGCTCAAACAATATATAACGCACAACAAAAGATCCGCAGACGCGAGCAAGCAGGAAAAACTCCAATGCAGGTTCTTATGTCCATTTTGCACACCAATAATTATTTGTATGAGCTTACTACAGGCGATTCAAATGAGTTGGAGAATCTATTTTTCGTCCATCCAACGTCTTGGAAGATATGGCGTGCATTTCCACATGTGGTGATGACAGATGCCACCTACAAAACGAACAAATATAATAAGCTGCTTGTAGAAATTGTTGGTATGACCTCAACTCGGAAGACATTCTCTGTATGTTTTGCCTTTATACATAGAGAAAAAGAGGCCAACTACTTGGGTGTTAAACTGTGTAAAGTCAATACTCGATAAGTGTATGCACCCACGTGTAATAATCACAGACAGAGAGTTGGCACTCATCAATGGATGTCAAACAGTGTTTCCGGATGCAGCACGGTTACTTTGTAGATGGCATATTGAGCAAAACATTTTAAAAATTTCCAACAAGATTATAACATTGGATGACGACCGTGACTCATTTAGAGTACTGTGGAAATTACTAGTTGAGTCTCCAACATTGATGATATACACGGAAAACTACAAACGACTACAATCAATGTTGATAAATTATCCACGTAAGTTTGTTTATTAACTATATTTCTAAATCACAACCTTCATATTATTGTTTATGTACTTATTTTGTTTATTTATTTTACTTCATAGGTGTTATGAGATACATAGATGATACATGGTTAAATAAGTACAAGGAAATGTTTGAGTCTGTTTGGGTTGATCAACATCTCAATTTTGGAAACAACACAACCAATAGAGCGGAGAGTCAACATTCCAAGTTAAAGAAAATTTTAAACTCTTCAAACTCTAATCTTGATAAATTCGTGCAACGGATTAATCAAGTCGTGCAATCACAACTTACTTCGATCTATGAAAGCTTTGAAAATAGCATGACTGTTCGCTACAATCACCATAACTTATCGTGTTTCCAATTGTTGCGGGGCCATGTTTCAAACGAAGCTTTAGATATAATATTAGGAGAGGTTCAAAGGTTGGGTGATGTAATGTTAGACTCCTCAAATTGTGGTTGCAAACTACGTAACAGTTTTGGGTTACCATGTGCTTGCATGCTTTCTTTCTATTCGATTTCAGGTTAGTATGTTTAATTACCAACATACAAATAGATTTTTAAATATTAGATAAATAATTATTTTATATTTCAATACAGGTGAAAGTATACCCTTGGATTCAATAGATATCTTTTGGAGGAAGCTTGATATTTTAGATACGACATCTGTAGTTGACGACGATATTAATTGCGATGATGTAGTGGATAAATATAAAGAAAACTTCAACAAACAATCAAAAGCCGGGAAAAATGTTTTATAGGAGAAAGCTAGAAGAGATATATGATCCGCATAAAACTGATGTTAGAGAACCTACGGTTCAAAAAAACACACGTGGACTCCAAGTGTGAAGAAACAACAGAAAAAGAAAGTCAATCCTCCAAATCATGCTCCTCGTAGATGCAGCTTCTCAACCACGTCGGAGTTTAATGGGATGGATTTAAATAAAGAACCTGAAAGACATAACTTTTCGTGTGGGATTGACTTAAATGATGAACCCCGAAGGCATTATCCATTCCAAATGAATGGTATTCCAGATATATTTCATGATTACATCGACGATATACATGATGTAGAAGGTGATGGAAATTGTGGGTTTCGAGCGGTAGCTGTTTGTTTGGGGTATAATGAAGACCAGTGGCTTTATATTCGAAAACAATTGCTTGAAGTGTTAGAGAGTCAATATTACGCATACCATAGAGTTTTCATTGACGGGTTTGATGAGGTATACTAGTCATTGCGTTGGTTTGAGTCACCTGCACCTCTCCGGCGACATTGGTTGCATATGCCTTTGACTGGTTACTTGATTGCCAACAAGTTTGGCGTGATCGTTCATTTTTTAAGCCACGTACAATCTACGACATGTTTCCCTCTTTGGAGAGGCCCCGAAGAGTTTCAACCCCATCGAGCCATTACGTTGGTACTAGTAAACGATATTCATTATATGTCGGTGTTTTTGAAAGGAAATTACCCAATGCCTTCTACCATAGCATATTGGAATGCCTATAAAAGTCTGTCTGCATCTACATGGCAAACTATGTATTGGCCGCGTTTTGATTTATACAATCAACTTAGGTCTCGTGCTTCTGAAAGACATTGGATACATATTAAAGACTAAGTGCGAATGTATTTGAACCTTTTTATTATTTTTTGCATCAAATATTATTTTATATTTGAACTTTTTTTTATTATTTGTTGCTTAAAATATTATTTTATTATTGTTGTGTCGTGTTTGAACGTTTTTTTTTAAAAAAAAATTGAATAAAAATATTTACACATCATAACCTAATTATTAAGATTAAAAGGATATATATTGTAAGCTTAATAAAAATGGTAGTGCTAGAATTGAAATAAAAATAATATTTTCTTTATTCCCCCTTCACGTTTTTTATTAACTATTTTTACAAATTTTCGTACATATTATTTCACAACTTTTTAAAAGAAAATTACAATCTTTTATTACTTTTTTACAAAAAAAATTTAAATATTTTAAAACTTATTTTACATCATTTTTAAACGTCTTTACAAAGTTTTTTTTTTAACCTTTTAAAACTAACTTGCAACATTTTTTAAACCTTTTTACAAACAACAAAAGTATATTGAAAAATAAAAGTAAAAAGTTTAAATGGTTTGGAACTTCATTAAAAACGTTAAAAGGATACGTAAAATGTTTTGAAAAAGGTATGTTGTAAAAAGAGCTTAAGAAGATTTGTAAAAAAGTTTATATATTGAAAAAAAGATTGCAAAAAAATTTAAAAAACTGTGATTTAAAACGTTATTAAAAAGTTTAAAAAGATTGTAAATTAAAATAATATCTTCGAACAATATATTAAAAGAATATAAAAAACATAATAATTTAGTAATCATTAGTAAAAAACTAAAAGGTAATTATGAGGGGTAGGATTAAGTGGAAATGGGGTAGGATATGACCTAATCTACCGATCTCTTTTTTCTTATCATCCCAATCAATGTAAGAGTTGGTCACTAGAATGGTTATATTTGGGCCCCAATATCACCAACACTACAAGAAAATTTCAATTTAGCTACGGAAAAATTCCATAGCAAAAAGCTGAAATTCCGTAGCTAAAGTTGAATAACTACGGAATTTGCTACGCAATTTATCAATTTGAATCTGTAGTTTTATTTCTTGTAGCAAAACGTTTAACTACGGAATTATGATTCCGTAGCAATTTTGCTATGACAATTTCAACGACATTTATTTTGTTGGAATTTAAATTCCATAGCAAATTTTGTAGCTATTTTTCCGTGGTAAATTTTGTAGCTTTTTGTTTCGTAGCAAATTCCGTAGCCATCTGTTCCGTAGCAAATTTTGTAGTCGTATGTTCCGTAACAAATTTCGTAGCATGTGTTCCGTAGCAAATTCCGTAGGTTTTTGTTCCGTAGCAAATTCCGTAGCCGCCTGTTCCGTAGCAAATTCTGTAGGTTTCTGTTTCGTCGCAAATTCCATAGCCGCCTGTTCCGTAGCAAATTCCATAGTTGTTTGTTTATCAACAATTTGTCCCGTAGCAACAGATTCCAAAGCAAACTCGGTATGATAAAAATATTCAACAAAATCCATATTTTCAATTATAATATTCATAAAAATATATAAAAATGTCGTAAATATAAATTTAATAGTTACATCAATGTTATAGATATATTACAATCAACAATTTAAATTCGAACCGCCATGTACACACAAATAGCCGCATATGCTCAACCAAAATGGCAAAACCTGCAAAATCAAATTTACAATCAACTAGATTAAAGTCCAACTATTTTATTTGACATAATATTAAGAAACAAAATGAATCACCTTTTGAGAACCATCAAATCCAACATTAGTATGGTTGTTTTTTTTCTCTTTCCAAGTTGTCACATGATGCCAAAAGGATATGAAACTGTCACATGATGTCAAAAGGATTTGGAATAAAGTTGAAAAACAAATGATAATAAATTGATCATAGATGTCAAAAGGATTTGAAATAAAGATAAAAAAACAAATGATAATAAATTGATCATAGATACCTGAATAGTGATTATTGACTTATTTATATAACACTTGATTTTCTATTAAAAAAAAATGATCCTGCATAATGATCTTATTATCGATATTGCTCTATGTTAGGTATCCCTGCTTTTGATCCCAAAAGTGTGTATTCTCTAAAGTATCGCTAATAAATAGCAACCTAATTTAATTTATTTCTTTGTTATAGCATCTTACTTTTATTTCATCCTATTACAACATTGTAAAAATCTACCCAACTATACACACATTAATTTTCATTGATACAATTTGGTAGCTTTTTCAAAGTATAGTGTTCTAAGAAGACAAACTTGAAAGTGCAATGCTATATCAAGCAAATAAAATTGACACCAAAATCTTGTGTAAGATAAAATTTTAATCTGTTGGTTCACAAATATTATAGAAATATCTTCTTGAAAATTTAAGCATACTTTTTTTTACTTTAAAATACCAATGTATTTTTGTTTGCTTATCTATTTTAGCATCCTACTTTTTAATTAGAAAATTTACCTAATTGTAGCAATGTGATCTAAATACAAATACTTTAATGAAAGTAATTGCTAATTTTTTTATTTAGGCTTAGCCCATTAAAAATTTAAAAAATAACAACTTATTTTTAGGATAAAATAAACCTATTTTCTAAAGCACAAAGCTTAAAGATGATGGTTTTGTTATCACCTGGAGTGGAGTGGAGTGAAACCTGTAACAAAAAAAATAAACATGATCTCAACAAGTTGATCAAAAAGGTCAACTTGCAAATAAATAAACTTGCAAATAAATACGAAAAAAGATATATGCAAATGCAACTAGAAATATCAAATTGGAATATCAGCTAGTAATCATCTAACCTATTATAATCTTTACTTGATCCGCTTTGATATCCATACAAAATGTGTTTGTTGGACTAAATTATGTTTCTTTTTAATCTTTACTTGTGCTATTTGTTCTTCACGACATAAGAAAATATGTAATAAATTTTTCAATGTAGAGTTCCTTAAATAAATGGAATCATGGATTAAAAAAAACTATAATACCTAATCAGAAAATGACCATTATGAGCATAACTCTTTATCTGTATTATTTTGTAGGTTTGGAAATAAAAGCTGAACCAAAGTGCTAAAGAAAATCAAGGCTAAAAATAACACAAATAAAATTTAAAATATAATTATTTGTTAAAAGTATTATATCATAAGCATTCTAACCTTAATCAAGTTAGCCGTGTTACCAAGGTTAAGAGTGGAAATCCATATGAAGGTCATTCTACTTTTCCTATTACAAAATGCAGTCAACAATGATAGAACAATTTTCAAATAACAATAAAATTAGTTTAACTTAGCACTAATATTGAACCCGAAAAATGAATGAAAAGGACCTAAATCGACACTAGAGCGGGTAGTTCTTTTAATTTCAACCCTGCATTTCTCTTCCTAAGAAAAAAAAAAGATATGATTATTTACCTTAAGACTAATGATTATCCATACTTATTGACCCAAGAACTGAAGGAAAACGAATTCCATGGATTACAAGATATAATAAGATTTTTCAAATCCTTAAAACACATTTCAACTCTCAAATCCAAAACTTCATTCGTGGGCCAAATCAAACGATGTATAAAAGTACAAATATTGCTTCTAAAAAAGTTATACCCACAAGTACAAAGACACCTTTTTCTTTCTTCATTCGTGTTGTTGTTGCTTCAAACAACAAGAACCTTCTCCCCATCTTCAATGAAGTAAACTGCACTTTCAGGAACCTGCAATATATTCAAACATTTACAACATCCTAAATTACTATCTCTAATTATGGATCTATAACAGAAGTAAGAAGCTTATTCTGAATAAAGAAGTCCATATCAATTTTTGCATAGTAAGTTGAACCCAAAAAAATTGACTCTGAAAAAAGAGACTACTAAAAAAGAAACAAGATGAAGATTCATTTTATTAATAGGAACACATACTTTGGGTTCCTAATATTGTTGTTGCCATCTTTTGTTGCTTGAAAATTGAGATTCTGAGAATTTATGGACTCAATTTGTCTTAGAACAGGAACATATAAGGAGTTCAACAAAGTATCTCCTTCAAGTGTTTTCACCTCCACAAACACACCCTTTCTACTGGCTTCTTTTAAAAGCAAACCTTCATTGCAGTATGATTCATTTTATCAGTGACAATATGCAAAACATGAGACAAATTTATGTTATTTGATTGCCTTATTGTAAATAAAGATGAAAAAACAGAATTAACACCAGTATTCCTACAAGAAACTGCATGAGTATATTATCTTCAAAGCCTTAGCCTCAACAACATTCGTTTTGTTGTACGAAAGTCAAAATGAAACAAAGGAAAATGAATTACTATAGATAATCCAAAGAATTACCGGTTAGATTAATGACTTTAGTGTTCCATGGTTACATCAGATCTTGGGAAAATAAGCCAATCAACTCTGTGATACATAAATTCCAATTTTTGTTTACACATACATATGAATAATATATTGTATGCAAAATAATCATTATTCTTCAATGTTGCATTTTATCGAGCATGTGGTATGCACAACGAATTAGTAAGCTAAAACACATCACTCACATCCAATTGGAGGGAAGAAATATAATAGAAGAAAAGTAGTTGATAATTTAGTCAAAATTGATTGGCCTTTTTACAATTTCCATGTTACGACTCGTTATACATCAATTTTCAATAATCTCTATCGACTAATGTTTATCAATCTTTCTTGACACCGATCGACACCAGTTTCAGTGTCGATCCTATGTGGTCTCCCTCTACTTGAAATTTTCATAAACACAGCAGCAAAAAATCATTCATAGCTGATTGGAACATAAGAAAGCAAACATACCTCTTGAAATTGGAATGCTATAAAAATGGAGGATGAAAAATACCGTTGTGAGCAAAAACGACTGGTGTGATGGGGACACTGAGCAACGACGACAGGTTGAGAGAGGGAGAGATGTGATCGGCGACAGGTAAAGGTTTGATCAGGATATCTCTGATTTGGGGAGGAAGTATATTTGGGCCATGTGATTTTACCAATTCACCCTTAATAAAAATACATGATTTTGATATTTCTGATTTGCATTGTATTAACCCAACACATGATACCTTCCAATTGAATCCTGTACGTTTTTATCCACATTAGCCTAAATACGGTTTTACCCAAATTAGCCAAAATAAAAATAGTAACATATTTATAAACTTATTACCGATAATATGTTTTACCCTAGCAAGAAGGCCCATCCTTTCCAACTTGTTTTATTGTTAAATTAAATATTATAATAAAAAAAATTGTATTTATATTTACATTTTATTAACAAATAAAACAAATCAACATTTTTTACTATTATTCACTTGTTCAAGTTGAAAGCATGGGCCATAGGGTTATGGTAAATGTGGGGTGTTTTTTCTATTTTTTAAAATTAAGAAAAAAAATAGAATTACAAATATTAAAAAAAACATTAAGGGCAAAACAACTATGAAGTTTCGTTACATAGCAAAGTGGATACATAATTTAGTTCTATAGAAATTTTTGTATTAAAAGAGCTATAGATTTTTCCACTATAGCAAAATAGCTATGTAAATCAGTTTTGTAGTAAATTTATGTAGCATAATAGCTATGAAATTTCATTTTGTAGCAAAATAGCTACGGAATTTGTTTCCGTAACTAAATTTGGTAACAAAATAGTTATGGAATATCATTTTGTAGCAAAATAGCTACTGAATTTAGTTTCATAGTAATTTCCGTAGCATAATAGCTATGAAATTTGACTTCGTAGTAAAATAGCTACGAAATTCATTTCTGTAACTAAATTCCGTAGCAAAATAGCTATGGAATATCATTTTGTAGAAAAATAGCTACGAAATTTAGTTTCGTAGTAATTTTGGTAGCAAAATAGATATGTATTTTAACTTCGTAGCAAATTCGGTAGCAAACTAACTACAAATTAAAATTCCGTAACAATTTTCCGTAATTAATTCTAAGTTTGCAACGGAATTTTATTTTGTAGAAATTTTTGTAACAAAAAATCTACGGAAATTCATTATGTAGCATATTTTGTTGCAAAATAGCTACAGAATATGAATTTGTAGTACTTTTTTGTAGCTAAATTGAAATTTTCTTGTAGTGCAAGGATTCAAGCAATCAACATTTGAAAAAAAAAACATATCACAAAATTCACTTAACTTGCAAATTTGTGAAGTAACTTTTTCTAACATCATACACCGCAAATTTTATTTATTTTGCAATCATAACATTATTTATGCGAACTTGATTTCAGCCCGTGAAAAATAATTTTGTTTCCTGGAATATAAAACCGAAAAGCCGGTTTAAGATATGTATTTTCTTTAAAATTTAAGCCAAACAAACATGCTCCCTCTTCTTAAGTTTTTAAAAGGGAAAAATGTGTTATCGGCAACAAACTAACACCCTATTCCCTTTCAAAATCATCCACCGAGTTTCGGTCTGATTACAAGAGAAAGGAGAAGAAATTCACTTTTATTTCATTTCTTTCCAACTTGAGAAGACAAATAATTAATTATATGTTATATCCTTTCCTTCTCTCTCTTTCCCTTCCCTTGCTTCCCTTCCCTTTCCCTAATTTTAAACCTCAAGAAGAGGGTGTAAGTGTAGCACAAATGGTTCCTAATGAGAGTCAAAGGCCTTAACGTCAACACCCCCAACCACTTTAAGCTAAATGTAACTATATTTATATTTGTAGAAAACATATATATATTGGACAAACAATCGAAAATTATTTCAAAAAAAAATTAAGGACAGGGATCATTGAAATAGTAATGTCATGTATTTGTGAGATTTTTAGCAAAAATTATGGTCATTTTGTAATATCTTCGTAATAATAGGTTGTTGGGTGATATGAGAAGTTCAAATATTGTATCATATCATGGAAGAAATAATTTAGAGAAATTAAATATTCTTCTATATTTATTTCTACATATCCTTCTATTCATCTTAAATGGTGACATGTGACACACAATTATGTTAAAATATTATTATTTTTATTAAATTAGTTGTGAAACTCGTATACTATACGAGTTAATTAAAACATAATGTTAAATAGTGCATCTTTATGTTGGGTGTTCTTTTGTCGTACGACCCAACGACTTATGTGCAACATGTGGTCCATGCCTCCTATTTGTGCGGCGACTAAATGAGAAGTTTATTTGAATTTGTGCGACGATTAAATGAGGAGTTTATTTGAATTTGAAATATGAAATAAGTGAAAATTATGAAAAAAAAACATGCAAAAAATAAATAAATTAAAATTATGTGTTCAATTGTTAGACCCGTGTACTAGATGAGTTATTATAATAAAATGTTAAATACAAAGGTTTAAAGTGTAAATTTATTTGAAATTGAAATTGAAATTTCAAATTTCAAATTTCAAATTTGAAATTAATATTTATTATAGTAGGTTTAATTTATGAAAACTAAATTGATAATATAGTGGAAATGAATAATAAAGTAATTGACAAGTGGAAAATAAATATATTTCAAAATTATGATAAAATGACATGTAACCAATTACATGAGATAATGACAAAGTGACAATAACATTTTCATTTATTAGGTTAGATATGACACATGTCATCAATTAGGATGGATAAAAAGATATATATATATATATATATATATATATATATATATATATATATATATATATATATATAAAATATGGGAGGATATTTAATTTCTCATAATTTATTATTAATAAATAATATTACATTGTTTTTCATTTTTCTTTGATGATACACCAAAATGAACTATTATAGAAGGAATGCTTATTTAATAAAAACAGGACAAAATTGCAAAAATGGTCCCCGTGGTTTGTCAATTTATGTGGGTAAGGTCCAAAAAAAAAGTTTATTAGCAAAAACGGTCCCTATTTGATGGTTTTGTTGCGGTTTTGGTCCCAATCTTGTTATGTATAACAACATGGCTATTCACTTTTGGCAAATGACGAATTTACCGCTAGGACTATTTTTGCAGTTTTATCTGTTTACCAAACTAAAAGGACCAATTATGCAAATTTTCTTTTTTATTGGATTAAATTATGATATATGAATTATTTTAATTACTTTTTGTTTTTAACTTTTTTCTTATTGTATTATTTTTTTATTGGATTATTATATTCATTTAATTATTTTTTTAAATCGTTAATTAATTTGATTGTATTATTATATATTAATAAATATTATTTTTAATAAATTGTGTTTATATAAATTTAATACTAATTTTTTATTATTAATTTTTTTAATTGATTTTTTTTTAATTTCTTCTTTATTGTATTACATCTTTTTTATAGGATTATTATATATATTAACAAATATTAATTTTAGCATATAATATTTATCTATTAGTAAGTGTTACTTTATTGGATTATTAATTTTATTTAATTACTTTTATTTAATTTTTTTTATTGCATTAGTTCTTTTTATTGGATTTTTAATTTAAATTTATTATTTTTATTTATAATAAATAATATTTTTTGATTGTTTTTATTTTTAGTATATAATATTTTAAATTATGATTTTGACATATAAAATTTCTCTAAAAATATTTCTACATGAATTACCAAATTTGAGTATTCGCTACTCGGCGATCGGCCGAACGAGTATCGAATAACAAGTTTTACAACTCTTTCACCACCTGTAGTGGCTATGGTGGTTTGAAATTCCTCCATCTAACATTGTCGTCATTGATGGTGGTATCCGTAATGAATAGTTGGCTGGAGGAAGTATGTTTTCTGGGGTTTATTTCACATTGTGTGCGTAGTCAACTGGTGTAGTTTTTGTTGAGAATGGCCGACTGTAGTCGATGATCGATGATTTCCAGCAAGATGATACGACGACGCAAGGTGGTAAAATGCAAAGAGTGAGGAGCTGACCCGGAGTGTTTGATATTTTTATTTAAAACAATAAAGAAAGAAATTAAAATAAAATAAAAACAATTAAATAAATATTATTTATTATAAATAAAAAATTCAATTTAATTAATAATCCAATTAAAAGAACTAATGCAATACAAAAATATAAAAAATAATTAAATGAAATTTATAATCTAATAAAGTAACAATTACTAATAGATAAATATTATATGCTAAAAATAATATTTGTTAATATATAATAATCCAATAAAAGAGAATTAATACAATAAAGAAGAAATTAAAAAAAATCAATCAAAAAATAATAAAAAAACATAATATTAATTAATATATAAATATAATATATTAAAAATAATATTTATAATATATAATAATCCAAACAAAAGAATTAACGAAATAAAAAAATTAATTAAATGAATTTAATAATCCAAAAAAGTAACACTTAATAATAGATAAATATTATATGTTAAACATAATATTTATTAATATATAATAATCCAATAAGAAACAAGTAATGCAATAAAGAAGAAATTAAAAATAATTAATTAAAAAAATTAATAATAAAAAAGTAATATTTATTAATATATAAATATAATATATTAAAAATAATACTTATTAATATATAATAATCCAATCAAAAGAATAAACAAAATAAAAAAATTAATTAAATAAATTTAATAATCCAAAAAGGTAACACTTAGTAATAGATAAATATTATATGTTAAAAATAATATTTATTAATAGATCATAATCCAATAAAAAAAAAAAAAGAATTAATGCAATAAAGAAGAAATTCAAAAAAAAATAATTAAAAAAATTAATAATAAAAAAATAATATTTATTAATATATAAATATAGTATATTAAAAATAATATTTAGTAATATAATAACCCAATAAAAAATAATACAATAAGAAAAAAGTTAAAAAGAAAAAAGTAACTAAAATAATTAGTATATAATAATTCAATAAAATGAAAAAGAAAAATTGCATAAATGGTCTTTGTAGTTTGGTAAAAAGATAAAACTGCAGAAATGGTCCCAGGGGTAAATCCATCATTTGCCAAAAGTTAACAGCCATATTGTTAAACTTAACGAGGTTGGGACAAAAACCGCAACAAAACCATTAAACAATGACTTTTTTTTGGTAATAAACGTTTTTTTGGTCCTTACCCACAAAAATTGACAAACCATAGAGACTATTATTGCAATTTTGACATAAAAACAGGTTAGCTAATTTAGTAATAGTTAGATATGAATTTACCTGGACATAACTATATCAATTACAAAGTATAACAATTTGACTTGGTAAGATATATGTAAAATATGGTGGATAACCTATTCATTATGTTTAAATTCTGGTACTACTCAACCTATGTGGTTATGGAGGTTCGTCTGTAGTGACTCCAGGCTATACCTCATGTTTGTAACAAGTGATTAGTCCAAGCAAAAGTTGGCCCGAAAATCCTCATTAGGAAAGTTCCTTTTCAAAAAAAAAAAACAAAAAAAAAAACAAAATTGTCATGTTTAACATTGTGTATTTTAGATATGCGTTATTTTCTTAAAGATTTATATTAGGGAAAATGACCTTTGAGGGTAATAAAGTGTTCTATAAGTACTCATTTGGTCCCTTATCTTTTTTTTGTCTTTATTATACCACTGAACTTACTAATCTTGTTCACCAAAACCCTTGATACCGGTTGTTGTAGGTTACTAGTTATGTGGATATTACGTGGCATTATGTGCGATAAACTGGGCTTATTAATTGCAAAGTTGCAGTATTGCATCGTTCTTGCCCTAGATCGACATGGATGCTTCTTCTTCTTCTTCTTCTATTTCTTCCAAACAAAATGCTGAATTTCAACCTGAAAATCCTTGTTATTGTGGGTTACCATCTCGTGTACGAACTTCACGAACTAAAGACAATCCAGGAAAAAAATTCAGATTGTGCCCTAACTCCATGGTAAAGCAAATGTTTTGTACTTTTCGTTTAATCTTCTTCACGAACCAAATGTTTTTTACTTTTTGTTTAATCATCTTTCTTTAACCAATTTGTTACTTTTTTCAAGAATGAAGGACCAAAATGCAAGTTCTGGGAATGGTTGGAGCCTAAAACCCCTGAAAATGAAGTCAATTCCGGGAAGGACAAAAAAGAACTGTGCAATTAAACCCTCAAAGTTTCTATATTGGAAAACGAGATCAACATTTGTAAGATGAAGATGGAACAAGAAAATTTGGTTGTTAGACAAGAGTTTGAAAAACTCAAATGGAAGTTATTTACTCATAAAGTTGTGATGATTGTGTTGTTTGTGTTTAAGAACTAGTTAGTTTAGATGTATTCAAAGACTAAATGTAATCCTTAATGTTGTAATTTGTTTGATGTATTAAGACTAAATCTTTTTGATTAATGATAATTTGATGTTTAAAGTGCTTTCCAAGAAGTATTAATGTGTTTAACAGGTTAGTGAATTGGACATGACGCATGGGTAAAATGGTCCATATTAAAGTTGGCAGTAATTAATTGTTAATGTCTTGATGTGATCCAAGGGTAAAATGGTCCATATTAACCACATTGGATACATCAAACATTTCTTAATGTATTAAGACTAAATATTGGCATTAATTAATTGTTAATGTCTTGATGTGATCCAAGGGTAAAATGGTCCAGATTAAATTTGGCAGTAATCAATTGTTAATGTCTTGATGTGATCCAAGGGTAAAATGGTCCAGATTAAATTTGGCAGTAATCAATTGTTAATGTCTTGATGTGATCCAAGGGTAAAATGGTCCAGATTAAATTTGACAGTAATCAATTGTTAATGTCTTGATGTGATCCAAGGGTAAAATGGTCCAGATTAACAACAACAACAACATCAAACATTTCTTAATGTATTAATACTAAATCTACTTGATTTATGATAGATAATATAAGATTAAACAATCTATATGCAAATAACCGTACACCAAAGCATATAGATAAAAGACAAAGTTGTAATATTCCATCAGCATGTGCACTATTACAAAAGCTGTGCCCACAGTTGTCCTAATATGTCAAAAGATGTGCCATGTGCCATGATTCTTAAAGTTTTCCCAATTACATAATTACAAGACTAAAAGTTTGTCTTTCCAAAAAAAAATAAAACATAAAATCATTCCAACACCATTGGGTTGTGTCCAGTGCTTCCTTCTTTCTTCAAAACCTTCCTCCTCAACCCTATCTTGGTAATTCTTTCTGAGTATTTTCATATCCTCTTCCTAGTTGCAACTGGTTGAGCAGGGACATCAACATTTGAATGTGGATCATCTACTTAAACTGGTTCAACATGTGGAGCTGGATCATCAACTGGTTCAACATGTGGTACTTGAACTGGATCCACTGGATCTGCTTGAATTGGTTCAACATTTGGAGCTGGTACTTGAACTGGATCCACTGGATCTGCTTGAACTGGATACACTTGAACTGGTTCCACTTTACCTGCTATACAAATATGTAGTTAATGAGTTGGATGTTCCATTTAAATTATATTGTTTTAATATCATACCTTTCTCTTTTTTACATTTTTTAGGTTTCTTGTTTTTTGGCCTTGAAGTGGATGCTACATCTGCTGGTCTAGTAGGACATGTTGATCTATTATGGCCCCTTTCTCTACAAATAGTGCATCTATTAACTGAACCTGCTTTTGAGATAGTATGCCTTCTTTTCCCCTTGCTTTCCATCTCAGATTGATCCTTTTTCCTTTTAAGGGTTGGCCTTCCTGGTAACCTTCTTTTTTGAGGAGGCAATAGCTTCATGTAGGGAACCTCAGGCCACATGGAACTACCATTAAGTGGGTTAATGGTATGGTTGTAACAAGTCAAGAACATGGTTGTATGGAACCATGGTGCAACATAATCCTCTGCATTCCTGTTGAGGTATGAAATGGCTGCCACTGCATGCACACATGGGATACCTGATACTTGCCAAGATCTACATCCACATGTGTTGTTGTTAAGGTCCACAGCATATCCATCGTTTCCAATCCTAACCTCATATTTTTGTACCCCAGAAGGTATAACTCCCCAAAATCTATCCACAAAAATAACAAATTCTATTAATCTACTAGATGACATATTAATACATATAAAATACAAGTTATATCATACCTTTGCTGTTTCTTTAACTTTGATATCTTTAATCTTATAAATGGGCATATTTTTAAATTACCCCAACTTTGTCCCTCTAGCAACATTCTATACATCCTCTCCATTGCATAAATCCGAATCTCTTCCAACATGGTGAGGAGTGGTCTCTTCCTAGCAAGATCAATAACAGAGTTGAAACTTTCTGATATGCCATTCTCATAAGCATCACAAGCCCTATCCACTTCAAAGAATGCCCTGCACCAACTTTTAGGGTCCCTTTCCATGAGGTGTTCATAAGCTAAAGGGTCAATTGTTTTTATGTAATTCATTTCTGCCTCAAATTTAGGTTGAGTAGTACTTGCAGTAGTTGCCCAAAACAACTTCCTATATTGTTCACCTTTTAATCTTTTCTTGAAGTTAGCATAGATGTGCCTAGCACATTGTCTATGCTTTGCTGCTGGAACTCTTTCTTTGACAACCTCTACCAATCCCTAAAAGAAACAAGAAATGGATGACATAACAAAAAACATTGAACTCAAACAAAACATAAAAGAAAATATACCTTGTGTTGGTCTGATATGAGGGTCAATCCATGACCAATTCCCATTTCAATATCATCTAGTAGGAGGTCAAGAAACCACTTCCATGTTTCCTTATTTTCTACTGCCACCACAGCCCATGCAATAAGGAAGATGTGGTTGTTTGCATCCCTACCCATAGCTGCTAACAGTTGGCCTCCACATATACCCTTTAAAAAACAACCATCTACCCCTATTACCCTCCTACATGCTGCAATCCAACCATCCTTCACACCCTTAAAACAAACATACATTTTAGAAAAGTAAGTGGTGGAATCAGGCATGACATCCACATCTATCTTTACTGTTGAACCAGGATTTGTCCTCATTATTTCTTCACCATAACTCCATACTTTACCATAATGTTCTATCAAGCTACCCTCTATCTCATCCAAAGCATATCTCCTAGCATTTCTACATTGAGTCACACTAACAATCAAGTTAAACTTTGTACTCACTTTGGCTTTCATTTTCCTTATGCTCATTTTGGGGTTCTTCAAAAGTTGATTCTTAAAATGTTTTCCAATCCATTTATATGTTACAATGGAACCAAGTTTGAAGACTCTTGAACAATTATGGTCATCAACTAAGGACTTAATCTGGAAAGACCTTTCACTACTCATCCAGGAAGCCCACAGTCTAAAAGGACAAGAGGGGTTCTTGCTATCTTTACAACATCTCACTAATAACCTGTGACTATCATTTTTCTCATAATAAAGATTGTACCCATTTGTTCACTGCACAGTTAGTCAAACAATTTTTCAATTCCATAGGGTTAGAGAATCTCATACCTAGAATTGGCACCATTTTGTCCCATTTCTAGTTCTCATTATGGACAGGGAACACTGGTTTGTCATCCCCATTGTTGGTTTCAACCTCATCAGTTTCAAGCTCATCATTTTTATCCTTAGAAATACCTGACACCCGGTGTAAGAATTCATCACCAATAGTTTTGTCAAGAGAAGGAATGTAACCATCTGCTTCATGCTCATATGGAATATCATCAGAAAGTTGTGACTCTTTATCATCATCCACGTCTGGCTCAGAATAATGCCCTTCATCATCTTCTACTACTTCCATATCAGCCCAATTAAGTACAGGTTCATTTTCGTGGTCTATATACACATTCATTGTTAGACCAACTTCATCACTATAACCCGTTTCAATAAACTCATAGTAGTCAGCATCATTCCCAATTCTCCTAATACCCTCTGCCAATGGTTCATTTCTAGTGCAATAATATACATTATCGCAACTGCCTTCAATCAACTTTTCAATGAACAACCTAAAATCTTTGAGATCCATTCCACCAAAATCAACATCAGCGATTGAAACAACAACAGAGTTCAAGTACACTAATGGTTTTGGTGCAAATAAACCATTATAATGTACATAAACTGTCAAATACTTACGGAGTTTGGAATCGGAGGCCATCTTCTTCACTGTAACACTCGCATTCACCACTTCTCTTCAATTTCGTAACTATTGGGGGTGAAAGAGTAATGGGTTTGCAACGTGGTCTAGGTCCACGTAATACGACATGTCATCTCTACTTAAATGAGATAACCGGCATAATAGGTGATAACCGGTATCGAGGGCTTTGGTGAGCAGGATTAGTAAGTTCAGTGGTATAATAAATACAAAAAAAAGATAAGAGACCAAACGAGTACTTATAGAACACTTTATTACCCTCAAAGGTCATTTTCCCTTTATATTAAAGCTTTAAAACTTTTGATATTGCAAAGATGGTATTGGTATCTATACGGCTAATTAAAACAGGTCCATTTCAGTTTTCCACAAAGTCCAGATGTGGGGTCTAGAAGCTGGGGCGCAAATGTTTTTAGTTCAAGTAGAATTTGGGCCTATTAGGGATGTACTATAAATTAACCCAAACGTTGAATCCGAACAAGAACCTAAACCAATTGGAACAATACACGGTATTCGGTTTGGTTTTTTATTCCTTGAATTTTAATTTTTCGGTTTCATTTTTTTTTTTTAACCAATTGAGGTCTACGTATTCCTGTACTACCAATTAACAGGCAGCTAACTATTACGTCGGATTAGAGATACGAATTACCAAAATTTGCAATAATAATGGCAGCGAACTATGGTTATCGGATTAGAGATACTAATTACCTGCAGCGATTGTAATAATAATGGAAGCAGCTATCTTGGAGTTTATTTCTATCGATTAATTCCTAAACGTATAAAGTATAGCCGATTCTTCTACAGAATTCGTCTGCCGCCTTCAATCAAGGTATTTTTTTTTTTTTTTGTCAAATATTTTTACTTTTCGTTCTATATTTCAATTTCGCTTGGTTGATTACTTTTAATATCTAGGGTTTAATGGCCCATATCTACGAAATTCCAGTACTTGTTCATAGCTTTTCTTGAAATAATGATTTAAATAGCTTTGTAATCGAGTAAACCAGAGCTTTAACTATTTTAAAGATTTCTTGAATATGTTAATATAAAAATCCAAACCTTTGATGGTTTTATGTTTCTGATTTCTTCATGTTAGGTTTTAATGCTTTAGATTGGACACCATATACAAATCTACATGAAATCATGAAATAGTTCTCTATTACAATCATTCTTATCTTCTAAAATTGCTAATATTCACTCTGCGTCATGTAGGACTTCCATAATATTTATATTTTATAGGCAATTATTTGAGACTTGTAGGTTTGTATATGTACATGTATGTTTGTCTTTTGTGTATAACTCTTATACCTTATGTGGAACTTGCATTTTACTAATATCTTGGATATAATATATTTTTTGCAAGTGTAGGAAAACCTAAGGAAAAAAGTATGACTAAAAACCTGAATCACGATGTGTTGCTTTTAATCATGATGAAACTCGGAGTCATTGATTTTATTTCATTTAGTAGAGTTTGCAAGTCATGGAGGTCACTTGCACTTGATAACAAAAGCAGATTTATGGCATCCATACGACCCATGTCGATGTCGATCTCTAATCGTGCATATGCGAAAGAGTGCTATTGCATCCTAGAGGACTTTAAAGAAAGAAAGTTCAAAACCCTCCTTCCCCATTCCATTGGAAGAATTTGTGTCGGATTAACTTGTGGTTACTTGGTCTTGTTCGGGAGGAAAACTCGTGACTTCTGGCTTGTGAATCCTATCACAATGCAAGAACTTCATTTCCCTAATGTCCCCAACTATCTACATGGTGATGATGCACCAATAACCAAGGCTATTCTGGTCTTTTCGCGTTCCATATCTAAATTCGTGCTTGTGGTAGTGCATAAATTCACCAATATAATATGGTTTTCTATATCGGGTAAAGGAGCATGGAATCATGTCCACTCCACTTACCCCGTCCATGATTTACATGCTTTCAAGGGGAAGGTATACACATTAACCAAAGGTTGTCGTTTATTTGAAATGAGACTCAATCCAGAGCCTGAATTGACATTACTTGATATCGAGAATTTTTGGAAGCCAAGTTTCTTATATCCTGAGTTTGTTGTGAATTCAGGTGAAAGCCTTTATGTGATGGATCACAACGTACATAATCCATACAAGTTTGAAGAACTAGATTTTGGTAAAATGATGTGGGTAACACTAGAAAAGACACTTACATTCTTTATTAGCAACGTGAATTGTTATTCTGCTGCTATTAACCCAGAGTCGTGGGTAGATCATCCTTCACAATACAAAACATATTCTTTCTGCCTTGTCGACAGTACTGATAAAGATCGAAAATACAAGCTTTTTACTGACGTCATGTGGTATTTTCCCCATCGTTGTTTGGATGTTGATCTCATAGACTACTGATAGACGTTTTAGAATTCATATCTTTCTTTCTTTTTTTTTTTTTTTTTTTTTTTTAATCTTTGCGTATGTTGAATATTATTTTTGACATTGGGAAATTAAGTATCATTGATGGATTCGCAGCTTTCAACTTAAGTGTTTCAACAGCTCAGTTTTAGTTCCATGTTTGCTTTTGGTGGGGACTACTATCATTTATATCTTCCTTTTAAGGGTGTGAGAAGGGACCATAAAAACTTGTAAAATTATAACTTAACGATTACATGAAATTGAAATTATACCCTTTTAAATTGTAACTATACCAAGTGACAGATGAACAGGAACATATTTGTCATTGAACAAAATTTTGACAACAAAGATAACTTGCATATTTAATTATACCAATTTAGTTTTGCTTACCATGATCTTATAAGTATTGACGTGTACTTCTATTCTTTTTAATGTTCGGTAGTTGTGAGAAAAAATTTTGAGGTTAAAAAGAAATTGTAAACCAAACCACTTAAGTGGCCCGAGGAACCCACTCTGTAGCTCATGGGGGGTTAATCGTGGGACAAGAAGAATATTTAGTACATGTCAAGGTTTGAACATTATATTGGTAATACTGCACCTCAATCATTAGACTCTATCGTGGGGTCAAAATTTGTTTGAGGTTATATATTTAAACATTTGTCTCCTTTTTGTATATCAACTATTGTATTCACATGAACATCTCAATCTTAACATTACTTAAGCATGGTTTCATTATAAAAACACATCTATCATTATCACTAATAAAAGATGCTTAGTTCAAGTTAAGTTAAAAAAAATGTTTAGTTATACCCTGTATTGTAAAGATATTATATAAATAGGAAATGTGAATTGAAAGCTGAGTATGAGTATTGTAATCTTGCTAGTCATAAACTAAGAATTATAAGGGATGTTTAGCAAAATTAAGTTGGATGTGGAGTAGTCTCATTCTGGGGTAAGGTATGAGATTATAGAGGAGTGTAGTAGTCTTCTTCCTTCTAGACAATCAGAAATGGTGGGTCTATATTAGACCACCAGTGGTATGTTTGGTCATATACCAGAGTAAGATGATAATATTTGATCATTCTAGACAATATTTTGAATTATGTTGTTGTAACGCCAGATTCCTGGTATGTATTTTAAACTAATTTATTCATTTTTGTATAGGAACTCGACGAGTTAGAGCCCAAATTCGTCGAGTAAGAACGGATTTTGGACGCGGAACTTAAAGTCTACCCGATGAGTTGAGGGACTCAACTCGACGAGTAGGGCTGCCAGAATGAAACTCTAATTTTCAGCGTTTAGCACCCTATTTAAACACCTTAAACTCCAAAGGCTAGCCTCATTTATAACCTCTATCATCCGAAATCCTAGCCACAAAACCCTAATATATTTTTGAGTGTTTTGAGCCATTTTTGTGCATTCTTTGTGATATTGAAGAAGTGGATTCTTGAAGAAGGAGCAAGGACGTGAAGGAGAAGAGTAGATCCAAAAGTTGAGCTCCATTTCTGGTTCATTGGAGGTATAAAGCTCCTATCTTGTCTATTCAACATTTAGATCTAGTTTTAGAGTGATTGCTCCATGTTTTGGTCTAAGAATGCTAGTCTTTGGGACTTGGACATCTAATGTGGGGAAAACCCTTTAGATCTAAGGTCTTTAGGGGACTTCATGGCATAAAGGTGCCAACTTTATGGCAATGAAGGTCTCATGCAACTTATGAACCATCCTTTTGGCTTTTTGAGCCAAGCAATCCATTCATGCAAGTAAAGATAGGAACTTTATGTGATATATCAAACCTAGGGGACCAGATCTATGGTTTGGAAGCATTGAACTCGATTGGAAGTGACTAAATGGATTTAGCCTAAGAGAACTCAACGAGTTGTTCATCCAACTCGGCGAGTTGGATCGCGGTCCCCAACCTTTTCTGTTATTGAGCAAACTCGACGAGTCTAGGAAATGACTCAGCGAGTTGGCCATGGTTTTTAGGTTTTGAAGACTGAAGAACTCAACGAGTTCAAGGAGGAACTCGGCGAGTTGTGTTGAAAAGTCCCGACTCTATTATAGGGAGGAACTCGACGAGTTTATGAAAGAACTCGACGATTTGGATCACAATTTCAAGGTTTTATGATTCATGGAACTCGACGAGTTAATGGACCAACTCTGCGAGTTGAGTCAACTAGGATGTTGACTTTTTGCCTCTGATTTTAACCAAAGTTGACCCTTAAAATGGGTTCATGGGTACAGAAGGATAATTAAAGGAAATGTTTATGTGTAGGAGTCTAAGAGGGGTTGATTTCAGAGCAGGAGTTTTTGTAGTTATTTCCAGTTATCGAGGTGAGTTACCTTCCAATAAGAGTGGGTCAAAGGCACCAATGCCAGTCCACTAGTATTGATTATAGTTTAGATGATTGTCTTTGTGATAATTTTCTAGTATGCCACTATCTGTTATGCTTTATGTGATAGTATGTTATGTTATTATGTGGTAGTGGTAGGGGTGAAATAGTCCCCTGTTACCGGTTGAAAGAAACCGACGGGAGGCCAACACACAAATATGTTAGGCAATATGTGATTTATATGTATATGCTAGGGTGTTATGTAGTAGTGGTAGGGGTGAAATAGTCCCTGGTTACCGGT